AGTATTTATGCAGGCTATCTGAGAATCCTGATCCTTCTATTGTAGTCTAACTAAATGTTAATATGGTCTGCAACTCAGGTAACAACTTGATAGATTAAAACTGGACGGTCTTTCCAAATTTTGCTTATTTCTTATACATATGCTATTATCTTATAGTATATTTTAATGCTATTATCAGTAGCATTAAAAATATGTCTGATACTATGTCTCATATATTTCTTTGGGATAGATCCAATCTAATCTGTTGAGATCCATTACCAGTTCTGTGTATAGGGCGGCTATTATGGCTGTCTGGAAAACACAGGGCAAAAACATTGTGCATAGCTGTGCCGGAACACGTATACAATAGCAGTAATGATTAACCATAGCATTAATTAGATCAGTAAAACAAACTGTTTACCTCTATCAGTAAAACAAACTGTTTAAAACAAACTGTTTACCTCTAAGCATTAAGCAGATCAGTAATCACAGACTCTTAATTGAGCGTTGATTAAATCAGGGGTTACAACTGTTTAACTCTCAAACATTAATTAGGGATTAGAAGTTTGCTAGTAAAAGATTTATTGACTATGGGCATTCTTTAGGTCTACATGGAAGTAAATGAGTTACCATATACCATAGACTTGTACAACCATGATTGGTCCACATAGACCATGTGAATCCACCCTTTCCTTGTGTATGTTCAATAAAAAAGGCCTCCGGATTCTATTCCGTGTCGGCCCATCTCGAGAGAGACCTGCCTCCGAGTCTTCTTTCATCATTGGCTTCATGGGCGACCCATGGAGAAATCGCACTAATCAGCATAAATTATTTTGCCTAAGAGACTATGTAACCTTTTTGCAAGAGAAGCTATTAAAAGCTTACAATCTATAACCAATAAGGAGACAGGCCTATTCAGCCCTGTAGTTCATCCCCCTACTTATACACCAAGGATATAAAAGCTTCCAGTCACAAAGGAAGAAATGCTTGACATTTATTAACATTTGTTAATTGTTTCATCAGCATCCCTTTGAAAATCTTCAACTATATCGCAGAAAAATCATCTGGTTCTAAGTATTAAGTTTTAACTTCTGTCTTGCTACCTTTCTTTAATCTTTTTAACTGGCTTGTTCAGTAATTTGTTATAAATTTCATAATCTGTGTTGTATCTAATAACTCTATAATTGCCATAGATTTGTTGATGATCAATTGTGGCTTAATATTATATACAAACTAGGCCATTATGGACATTGTTAAATAAATAGACAGTTCTTAGTGCCAGTTTTTCCTGTGTTTATTTTTATTCTGCTCTTAAAATTTTCTTCCAAACTTACAGAAACTGTAAGTGGATATTTATTGTTGCTTGAAACAGTTTCCTCTAGATTTGATAAGGCATGTTGTACTATACATTATTCTGATGACTGCCAGCAGTTCGATTCTCACCAGTCAAGGTTGACTCAGCCTTCCATCCTTCCCAGGTTGGTAAAATGAAGACCCCGATTATTGGGGGCAATATATTGACTCTGTAAACCCTTTAGAAAGGGCCATAAAGTACTGTGAAGTGCTATATATGTCTAAGTGCTATTGCTATACGTACACACGTATACACACATACACACCAACACCAGTGCTATTCTTTTGATCATTGTCTAAATGATTCTTCCTTAGATAAAATCCAGAGAAATCACAGTCTAGCCTATAATCTCCCATCAAAATATTAACCAGGTCTGATTCTGTGATAGAGAAGGCCCAATTTCCCAATAAAAGTTGAAATCATAGTGTTTAGCTTGCAATAATATGACCCCAGCCATATTATAGGACAAGGCATAAGGTATAAAAAGAAAAACACATAAAAATGCATTGCTGAAATTAGAAGAGTCCTGGATGAGCCATGTTATAGCATATGTAGAAATCTTGTGGTTAAATTTAGTAATATATTATGCTGATACATATGTGTGTGGGTGCACGCGGACAACCGCTTATGTAGAAATGCTGACTATTGCAAAGACATTGGTGTCAGAACACAGGAAACATTTTATGATATTGTAATGTCAGATATGCTATAACTTGTAAGTGGTGTAGTTTCCTACCTAAGCAGGGGGTTGGACTAGAAGACCTCCAGGTCCCTTCTAACTCTTGTTATTCTAAATCTAAACTTCTAAATCTAAATACCGTATAAAAAATACTGGGTAGGAACTCATAGTTTGAGAGAGATCCCTTTGTGTACTTCTACAGAATACAGTTTATTTTACAATCTCCACATTGGTGAGTTTAATTTGGGCAAGCTCCCATCATGCAACAGATCCCAGTATTGGACCTGCTTAGCTTCCAAAAGTTCACAAGTCAGCAAAGTGCTGTGGCTTAAAGTTGGTAATATGTATCAAAATTAACAGCAGCCTGTAAATAGAAGATATTTTTACACTATGCATCCCGATAAACTAACATGTTCACATATTCACTTAGAACAGTTAGAGCCATATCTGGTCTGCCTGTCAACCACTAGATGGCAAGGAAGAGATGTCTGTATCTCTTTGCTACTATCTATAGGTAATAAATTAGTTTTTGCACCTTATTTATAACAATGATACCATTAAATGTGTAATTATTATATTTTGGGGACATTTCTTGTTATGATTTAATAAGGGCTATCCCAAGATACTTGGCTGCCCAAGGTGCAGCATCAGCAAATGGGCATATTTCCCTAGCCTAGCCTAATTAGACCCATAAAACAGAAGAGTCCCACAAACAATCACACATGTAATTAAGTGTGCCTTTCATGGGACTCAAAATTAATCATCTGGTGTACTTACCTTATTACAGTAAATGGTTAGAAATCTGCTTTTCCCCGGAAGTAGGGGGGGGGGGCAGAAAAACAATCTGGTTTCATGAGATCTTTCAGGATTTTAAGCAGGTAATAGTCATTAAAAATCTACAGGGAAGCAATCATGCAGGATAATCAGAGTTTGTACAATTTATATATTATGTTCTAATGAGATTTGATTACAGACAGCCTGGTTTAAGCATGTGACAAGCTTCATTTTGGTTAATTAGGGTGCTTCTATAAAAAGATGATCCTGGTTTGAACAACCCAGATCCTTTTTTGCTTTCCTAGAAAAGAAATTTCCTATTCTGGATTGAATTCTAAAGAATTTGAGTAGACAAAAGTTAATTATAGGAATCTGACCTTTAGACTGCAATCATTACTGGATATGAAAAATTAATAAAAATTAAGATGTTCTTCTAAACAATTTTACTTTCATTAAAATAGTACCAGCAGTTTAAACAATTTCACTATATTCTTCTTGATGTGGTTACTTTTTCATAACAAATTAAGTCATTTATTGGAACAAGATGAGAGATGCAGCCTTTTTTTCTACTCTATGATTTTTATTTTGCTTCTTTTGATGGTGGAAATATTTGAACATAAGATCTGAAATGCATTCTGATAGCAAAATACAATAATAGTCTTCCCAATAATTTTTAAAATATCAAGTAGATGCTTCTCTTTCTCATGTATAGTTTTTCCCTTCAACAGGTATTTTATTTCAGTTTTTTGGTTTTTTTTATAGGTATGTGTTTTTCCATAGTCAGGTATTTTTACATGAACCTCATATTACTCCTGATTTTTCTCTATATATATATAAAACTGCTGTGCTGCAATATTTTTGGGCAGGGCTTATTTTAGTGCATGTGCTCAAAAGCCCGATTAGGATTATTATCCAGGGTAGTGGTGGTAGCGGGAGGCTCCACCCTCCTGCACGCTTCTGCGCATGCACAGAAGCGTCATGCGCAAGCGTGAGTGAACTGGTAGCACCAGAGTTCTGATGTTCCTGGGCTCTGTTGGAGCCACTCTTCCAGTTTTGGAGTCACAACCCCAAGGGCTCCTACTACCACTTTGGCATTTATTTTCCTCATACCTCATACGTCTATACTCCATGACTGCCTTCATGTTCTGATGCCTTCAGAATTTTAAAATTAAAGTTGTAAAGGAAAACATGTTTTCCAAATCTCAAAAATCTATTTGGCTGGAGAAGAAACCGAGGTTTACAGCTGCTCCAAAGATATGATTTTCGCGTAAACTAAAACACTTGGCATTGGTTGGTTTAGGAGAACCATTCTGAAATTTCAGCAGAAAGATCCCCGTAATGTACTGCCTAATGTCTTAAATATGCATAAAAGTTTAACCTATTAATCATAGAAGAGATTGAAGGAATCTATAGAATAAGAAGGTTCCCTCTTTAAATTACTAAAGCAGCTATAACACATGAATCACGTCTTGAATGATTTACACAGCCTTATTGTATTTGCTAGTACATAGTGGATATTTGCTTCCCTTTTAAAAAAAATCAAATGAACTCCTATTGTAAGATTTCTAAGGAGATATGCATTTTGACTCTGGACTGCAACAATTGCCGGTGTTTGTTCCTGTTCAGACATAGCAAGCATCTTAAAACTGATGAAAAAGAATTTGATAAAGTTGATTCTATAGCTCTCACATTTCAAATCCTTCATAAACCCATTTTGAGCATCAGTAATATACAATAAGTTTAGCTAAAATATAAAATTAATAATACTTTGAAGTAAATTATATTCTGCCTTTCCCAACCAAGCATGGAGCTATGGAACATAATTCGGTGTAATTTATTTGAAATGTTTTGAGAACAGTATAAGTCTATTATGCAAAAATATTTAATTACTAATACAGTATTTTTAATAAATGAAAACCATATAATTTCTCTAACATTTTGGCAATATTTGTCAGTTCAGTAGTTCACAACTTAAGTACATAATCCTTGGTATATTTACTGAGAAATAGTCCCACTATGTCATTTGGACTTATTCCCATGTGTTGTAAGGTTGTAAAAATTTTAAGATTGCAATTTAATGTATTTTCTATTGCGTCTCCTTTGTAATTATTACTCCAAGCCCAGTCTGGAACATTGCATTAAACCATAAGTCACTGGATCTCTTTCCCTGAACATTTTTCAGAATAAAGCAAGTTAAATAAATTACAAGATTGAAACATGATCATAATTTTTTAATCCTATACATACAGAAATGTCCTAAATAGTGATATTGGTAATTAATACTTTGTTTAAAAAAAGAAGTAAAGTAACCTACTATATACTGATTATTTTAACATAATTACTTGTGTAACAGATAGTGAAACATTAAAAAAAACCTGACACCTTATTTACTCCACTAATTTTTTTGTAAACATAAAATGCTTGATGTATACATTTTGCCAACGTTACTGTTGTACTGAGGTTGGAGTCTATACTGTATGGAAAGTAATAGTTATTATATTTCAGTGCACTGTTGCATATTATAGAACCATTTATTTAAAAAATCAGTAAAATACTGAATTTAATGTTGTTCAAACCTAATTGTAATTTTCTTACTCAATTTCCCAGTTTATTGGCATTTTCACAACTTTAACTGGGAAAGCTAATCAAAGCTGGACATTTTTCTGAGATGTTAATCGGAACACTTTGCAGTTGCGTTTCTAGAATAACAGTAGGTGCTACAGAAGGTTCTCACAACAGAGAATTATAGAATGGTACAGACTGGTACTAAGGAAGCCAATGCTTTATTGGGAGATCTGTTATAAGAAAATATCTGAATCACAGTTTTAATCATGACAATCGTGACTTATTTTAATCACAATTAGCTAATCAATTTAAACTCCTGATAAAACACATTATAAACATAAAAGTGAATTAATTTAAAAACCTGGTTTTCTAATTTTTTCTAATGGGGATCCCTATTCCAATTTTTTTCAAGGTTGCTAATGTTTTGTTTGAATCACATTACATGTATTCTGAATTTTAATATGAGAAGCATATTAAACAAGTTTCTTACACAGAATTCATGACAAAGTATCTTAGTTGTGACAACAGGATATGCTTTTGTCAAAATCGGAAAAAAGCAGAGTCATCCTCTAATTTGTCCCTATTTTATGTCCTTGTGAGGTCACAAGACATATGCAAAAGGGATGGACCTTGTGGCTTCTTTTATCATTTGCCACTCTTTCCCCATCAGGTATCTCTATCTGTACCTGCAATGGAAGCTAGGAATATGAGCAATCATGGAAACTGAGAAAGAGAAGGTTTATTTGCTGCTCACCCAACTGATTTCCCAAGAATAGGTCTTGATTATAATTTTTATTTATAAAATGTAAGACAAATCAAAGATGTAAAGCGAGAGCACCATTTTATATACAAACTGATATGTTACCTCAGAAAGGGCTACACAAAGCAAAACAATTCTGTATAAATGTGAGTTCATTTATATTTCTGTTGTCATTTTTGGTGTTTCCATGCTCAGCACAATCATAGAGTTTTAGATTTTCACTATTAATGAAGTGTTAATTTTCAAATGATTATCTTGCATTTGAAACCTTATTTTATTGCATTAGCCATGTTAATTGTTGACATGTGTATCTTAACGTTTCGCCCTAAAAATGTAAATCAATCTGTATTTAAGATTCCTGCCGACTTAGTATTTTAGTTTATCCTAAAATATAGCACTGCTTTATAAATGGTTGGACATCAATTGAGTCCTCATTATTTTTTGAACACCATCCACTGTCCAATATGCTACTTGTGATAGCTTCTGCACCCCTGCAAGTGATGTACTTAATGTCAAGAAATGTACTTATGTCAAATCACCAGGTGATAAGTAACTCAGTTTTAACTTCAGGCTTTTTGAAACCTTGCTTTATGTAACTTCCTGACCTTGACACTTTAAAAATGCCATGCAGACAACTTGTGTTAAGTTGCCATTTGAAACATCAAATGTGGGCATTTTATAAACAGGGATACCTGGTATATGTCTAAAACTGGTAGTTTAGAAATCATGTCTACCAACAGGACGTGTGAAACATTTGGCCAAGTACCTGTCTCAGCGACTGAGGCATTTACAGACTATCACAAGACTACAGTTGCCACACATACCAGTAGTTAACAGTATTATGGTCAATAGGTACAAATATAATAGGAATTGAATTGACATTGTCACAAAAATATTAAAAAGTGCTTCTTGCTCCACATATGGAATGCAAATACGTACATATGAGACACTGAAAGCCTCTTGAAGCTTTTGTCAGACATTGCTTTCTAATTCTCTGTCATTCTCCCATGAATCTGTCTCTCCCATGTGGTCACACTCAAGGCTGATTTCACTAGTGTCCATGCTACAGTTAGATCCACTGTCTGATTGGTCCATTTGTTCAGACTTGGATTCTTGCTGGAATATGCTGTTCCTACTTGATGCTATTACAGGTCCTTCCAAATCACGGACTCCATTTTCACCCGAGGCACGTAAAACCAGTTCTTTGGCTTGACGGATAGAGTTGAGCCAGAGCTGTTTATTGAAAGTATCATTTGCTTGTAATGAGTGGGATTGGCTTTGTGATCCATTCTTGAAGCTGATTCGAAAGAAGTTTTTAACTGGAAGAAAGGAAGCAAATCAGTATATAGAATGCTTTATGTAGGATGATTTAAATGCTGTGTGAATTTTCAGAACGTTTGAGCTTTGGTTTGTAATTTTCCACAAAATGCTAAGGATTTAAAACAATGGCACATTATTATTAATTTAAGAACTGGGATTCTCTAGGTGCCCGTTACATGAAGGATATGTCAAAACAGCTTCTTAGCAAAACAGCAAATGAATAGAATTTTAAATAAATAAAATTCTGAAATGTCATTATTTGACAAACATCAAAATAATGTAACTGTGATTCATACTTCTCTCATTGTTGCTGAATGCACCACGTATGGATCCACCTAATCGCACCTCTCCATCTTGCAAGTCTTCCAGCATAAGATCCTTCACAGGGATGGGCTGACGATACATTTGGTAGCAGAGTTGTTCATTATGAAGAATTGCCCGAGTAATTACTAGCACTTCTTGGAAAAGAAAGACATGAAATTTCTGAGGAGGAAAAAAAAAGCTTGAGTCTCTTTTCTAGAATTTTATACATTTCTTATTTAAAAAACAATCAATTACCCTAGAGAAAACAGAAGCATTCAAAATACCTCTCTCTCTCTCTCTCTCTCTCTCTCACACACACACACACACACACACCTCTGCTCTTTATTTTCTAAATCCTCTTTAGTTTTTCCAGGCCTGTTATTTTCCAAGCTTTTTGTACTCCTTCCTGATGTTGCTATCACTTGACACTGCTATTGCCACCATTAATCATTGTCTACTACCATGATGTCTAGTTGATTGGCCAGTATCTGTATGTCTGAATCCAGAAGCCCCTCAGTACCTTGGTGCTATTATTATCCATAACCATCTGGGGGACCTCCCATTTGGATTTGGGAGGGTCTAGCTCATACACTGTGCAAATTTTATTGTACACAGTGCCAACCACTTGGTTGTGCTGTTAAATGTATGCTGTTCCTGTCTGCATCTTACACCATGCCACTATGTCTTGCACCTCTGCATAATTTGCATTTGGGGTCCTCTCAAGTCCAATAGAACTTTGTTTCCATGGATGTAGTGCTTAGTGTCTGTTCTTGTGTTGATCTGATCTGTGTCTCAGTACTGCCTTTTAGTCAGCCCTTCCCAGCCATTGGTAGGATTTCCCAATGTCTGCCACTTTAGCTATCTGTTGATGGTACATCCCATGCAGAGTCTTGTCTTCCCATGGCACTTGAGCATTCTCCTTGATTTTCTTCTCATGTCTGCTGCTGCTTTAGACATTTCCTCTGAAGCTCATTTTTGTCTGCCATCTTACTGATGTATTCCTGGATGCTATGAGTTTCAGACTTAGACCTCACCCTCTTTCTGCCTGGTATATAATCTCTGTTGGACTTTGGGTTGAAAATTCCATATATTGTGAGAAGGTTCTGGATCTTCATGTTCTGTTTTGACCAGCTCATTCTACCAGCAAGATATCTGATGACACACATGGCATGTATGTTGATGGCATGGATCTTGTTCTTCCAATTAAGTTGGGTCTTCAGAATCTGACTTATCCTTTGATGGTGGTACTTGAGATGCCACACTTCTCCAGTCCTAATGCCATCCCAATATCCTCACTGTAGATGTGTCAAATGGATATCTTGTTCACTCTTGCATGTAGTTTTAGGTCATCTATGTAGAGATAGTGGCTGATGGTAGTTTCTATCTTGAACTTGTATCCATATCACTCCTTGTGATTATCTGGTGGAGGAGGTTCAAAACTATGCGGAACAGCCGCAGGATCAAAACATAATAGCAATAGCAATAGCAGTTAGACTTATATACCGCTTCATAGGGCTTTCAGCCCTCTCTAAGCGGTTTACAGA